CCTGCTTTACAACGTCAACCTTGTCTGAGAGAAGTACAGCATCCAGCAGAAAGATAGAGGTAGTCAATAAAAATGTTCTCTCCACTTTGGAATCGAAAATGGGTCCCCTGCGTGCGACAGTGAAGTGCTTAACTGCTACACCACAGGTGCCGGGTGTGGTATATATGTACAACCAATATTTTACGCGAGATTATGCAAAAGTATTCAGAAGTAAGATTCAAGGATCATGGAAGGAAAAGAAATCAAATGAGGTAGTGCTTGATGAAGCCCAGGTGGGACGCTGACTGTTAAAAACAATCAGGAAGTGAAAAATGTATGCAGTTTTTGGGACACCTGAATAGACATGAGGGTCTTGAACATCTCGCTCTCAATGGCAAAATTGAAGGCAAACGAGGCAGGGGTAGGCGCAAGGCAACCTTCTTAGGGAACCTAAATAAATGGGTTACAGGGAAAGATCAGGGAAACGTCGCTTTTTTGAGAGCATCCGAGCAAAGGAATGAATGGAGAACCACGATGGCCGATGTCTGTCGCAGGTCTGGCACTGGATGATGGGACTCGTAATCATGAGGTTTCGGGGTCAGAGGTTCGAGCCGCGGGCCCGACGTTGTGTCCTTGGGAAAGGTACTTATAATGAATGTTCCTCACCTCACCCAGGTGGGAATGGGTACCCGGCTTTAGACAGCAAAAAAATCTTGTCAGTATGATGGTGTTTTAGTGTCCATAAATGGCAGCTTGCACTGCATGCTTCCCAAGAAGTTGAGTTTGTTTCAGAATGCTCTCAGGTCTGCTGGGTAATAGTATAGATTGTAAAGCGCATAGAGCTTTCTGTTGAGCGGGGATTTGTTCTATACAAATGCCATCTATTATTTATTATTATTAAGTAAGAGGTTTGCATTAATAACATAAGTGAAGATACTTATAAATCGCATTTCTGTATTGTTTGTTTATTATAAATCCCCCCCTCCCCCCAAATTTCCATTCAGTAGCAAATTTTTATCACACATCGTCCTTATTTTCCTTCTTCCCACCTTGCTGTCACATCATATAATAATGGAGATCATTTTTTGTGTGTGATTTAACCTTGGACTTTTTGCCAGTGTGTATCTTTGCCTTTACAAAGTTAAATTTCTTGCTTAGTAATAATGATAAAGCTGAAAATTTGCAAAAAGATATTTTGAAATAGATACAGCTTTGGTAACAAGACGACTGTGCCGATATAGCTTATCATGTATGTATACCTGAGATTGTCTGGTTTTCATTGCCAGCCTTTAAGTGAAGTTAGGTCTTTAGTAAAGTTAAGTAAGAGTTTTATGGCACTTGCAAATGTATAAGATCATATAAGTGCTGATATTAGAGGTATTACAAGAGAGTAAGAAACACGAAAAAGGAGAAGGATGAGAGATAAGGACGATAGATGTTTAATAGGAAAGAAGGAGCAAACCACATTTGAGCTATCACCAACCACCCACAAAATAAAGTCTGGGTTGGTCTCTGAGGAATAAAATCAAAGTAAGGTTTTCTCCCCTTGTATTGTCTTGTTCAGATTGACCTCCCCATTCCTGCTGGTGGCCTTGGCCGCATGTTCGGCGCCTGCTTCTTGATCAGCGTGAAGAATCAGGACAAGAAAATCAGCGTCATGGGTAAGTAGGTCACAGTCATGGGGAAGTAGGTCACAGCTCTGGGTTAGTACTCTAAGGTATCGAATAAAAGGAAGGGGGAGATTCTATTTTACCAGCTAGTTCAATTCTTCTTTCAACATTAAGTTTGATCAGCAGCGACAGTGGTTGTCTTTTTGGGCATATCAACCGCCTAGTGTGACGTATGACGGAGCATAACTCAGAGCAATCGATATACGTTCTTACTGGAACCATCTTTACGGTCACCATGAAGTTCCGAAATGGTGGGCTCAGTCTCTGCTAAGGTGACATCGTTAGTGTTAGCCTATTCTATCGGGCCAAAATAAGTGTAGAGAGGAGCTAAGTGGGAAGACAGTATAGTGGCAGGTATGTTGGGGGTATTTGTAAGCGGGTTGTAGATAGCAAGTTGGCAGATTATGATCTTTAAAATTGCAGCATTCTACTCCCTGATCCTTTGCCCTGAGTATTCTTTTCGAGTCCAATTGAGCTTGGAAAGATTCTGACGCAGGATCCTCGAACCCAAGTCGAGAGGGCACAATTTACACAGAATATTGTATCCCCTCGCCTCAGGGGGAGCGACCTCAAACTCCCAAATCAAGTACCCTATGTCTGAATCCTCCCAGTCTCGTCCATTATTGGTAGATCTATACTTCCATTGCTAACGTTGGAAGCAATTCCTACATTTAAAAAAGCCAATTTTATGGAAATGCTGGCTGAATGTGTTTTAGTGGTTAGAAATGACTAGAGAGCAAGCGGGAGATATATATATATATAGAGAGAGACAGAAACAGAGACAGAGATAGAGAGATACACACACACGCACAGAGAGAGAGAAAGAGAGAGAGAGAGAGAGAGAGAGAGAGAGAGAGAGCGGGAGGGACAGTAGGGGGGGGGGGGGTGGCGAGAGAGGAAAGGCTTAGTGGTGGGCAATGAATAAGACGGCGATGAAATGAAGTTATGGGGCTGGGGAAGTTAAACAGATAGGTAGATAGCCATATTGAGACAGAAGGAGATAGCGATAGAAAGACACAGCGAAGAGTATGCGGATTGGAAAGAAGGGAATAGAGAGAGAGAGAGAAAGAGAGATATATACATATCATGTATGTATATAAAGTGAGAGTTTATTATAATATGGTGAACAGGGTGCTGAGGGAATGGTTATACTATAGAGACTTGCCATCTTTCTTCCCAAACATAAGGCGTCCATTAACTATGACTAAAGGGGTATTGAACAGTGTTATAATACAATGCTATTTTATAATACTATGTAACTAAATGTGCATTACCTTTTCCTTTCGTTCAGATTATTTGTGCTGTGCTGCAAGCAGCATATATTAAAACAATGCTCTCCCCACCACACGAGCTATCGATGAACCCTAGGTACAGCTCCTTGAAACAAGAACATGGATATATAAATATGGAAATAAGGTCGCCGCTAGCATAAGGAAAATAATAGGAAAAGTTGTTATCGATATGCATTGTGTTTTACTTTAAATAGAGTGCAATATGTGATATTAAATATTACAGAGACTTTTTCCCATGTTCAAATTCAATATCAAATAATATGAAACATATACTTTACGTCACCATACCTCAGTTTACTGACGCACATTTTTGCAATCAGTATAATATGATTTGCTGTTTTTACTACACTATTATTTACTCCACCCTCCTTCCTCACGCCGAGTAGAATATTGGCGTCTGTCATTGGAAAATTGTGGTCTATTTGTGATTTGGAAGATCAGCTGAAACACATGATTCCAAAAACCCCTTAATCGTGAACAGTGGATAAACATATGTTCGACAAAGTCTGCTACACCACAGTATTCACACAGTTCTGAAGATTTTATGCCCATCCTATTCAACAAGATATTTGTTGGGAATATATTGTGAAGTATTTTAAAATGTAGAAGGCGAAGACGAGATTCTTGCGTGGCCATATGTGCTAGACTATACCTATCTGCTATGTCCACTCCAAGCTTTTTCAACCAAAAGTTCTTACCGCATACCTGAACCTTCTCCCGCCCCAAGACAATTCGTCGTAACTCCTGATTGTTGCTACAAAGTACCTGAAGATTTTCAGCACTAATTCTTTCACACACAACTGCTGCACACTGACTGTGTTCCAGTGTGTTGTTCTGGTTCAGTAGCTCTGTCCATGATTTTGGTAGGCCATTAATTAGAGCATAATAATCAAAGTCAAAGCCTGCATAATTTCCTATTGTGTGTTTCATTTCTTCTTTTGTTTTCACCCGTCCCCTGTCATAAACCTGGTAAATGTTTTTTATTCCTCTTCTCATCCAATATTTCAGAAAAAAGTGAATTACCTTTGTACTGTATCTTTTTGTTGTTGAAAAGGGGTTGCGTAAGAATGTCATTCACTTATTTGAGCTGTGTATCACCTAACTCTCTTTGTACTTCATGCTGTCATGACCGCTATCCAAAATGTAGATGCACCAGATGCACCAGCTGGCTTGATCAGATGTTTAGGGTTAATAGTTGCTTTTAACCTTTTCACCTTTTCGCTTCGTGCGGCTTTCACGGTGCGCATTCCCTAAG